AGTATATAGAGCAGAAGATGAATTGCTAAGAAGAAATGAAGCAGAATGCCCTCGAAAGAAGTGAAGCGAAAATTCACGTTGTACATCCGATAACCTCTCGAGTGAAGTGTGCATAAAAGAGCGCTACTAACCTATCGATTCCTTTTTTTCAAGCACTTGCATCATAAAGAATTTAAGTTGTGTCAGAAAAAAAGAAGACTAATTTTCAACTTATGTATTTTTGGTTTAATGATATTATCCCACTTCATTATCAGTTTTACTTTCATCAACTCACTCAGGCATATATCTTCATCGTAGGACCAATAGCAGTTGTAAATAAACAAACAAATATATTGAAATTATTTTATTTATCAATAAAAAATTATTAGATGATAATTTTTTGTTAAATCATAGATAAGTCTTTATTTATTACACACAAACAATAAACTTGAGAGTAATGACAGTTGTGTCATCTTTTGAGCTTTAATTATCATTATTATTTACATGATAATTTTCTAAAAGAGCCATTTTTTGTTTGAGTTTTATTTTTTTATCAGAAATTTGTAGAGGAATGTCAATTTTTAGGTAATAAAAGTTTTTTTCAGTTTAACTTTTTAATTGAAAATGCTTAAGAACCAATAAAATGACTGCAATTCTAATTGTAAAATGTTCAAATTGTGGTAATAAAACACCCTCTAAAATGGATCCTTTCCTGAAAAATCGGTTGTCATGGAAATCGTTAAACTTGTAAGCATTTTATTCTCATGCTGACGGGATGTTTTGGCTAATTGGCAATGTGACAAAGTATGTTGTCGACTTTTAGTTGAATACGAAAATTCATATAAATGGACTATGACACTTCCAAGTGCATGGTTACGAAACTCTATAATGTGTATACAAATTAACATTGAACATATTTTAAATAAATGATTTAATTTTATTTCAAATTGAAAGTGATATTTAGAAAAAAATTTGCAAGCTTGATCAGATCAGTAGCAAATAAAAATTTCAATTTAGACTGATGTTGAGTATTTTTTGTGAACTCGAACAATGACAAAAATTCCAACAGTCGATAAACAAAATTAAGCTCAATGTAAAATTTGAATTTAAAAAATTTTGAATGAATCGTAACTTCCATTTTCGAATTTATGCTTGATAGAATTTGATAAGAAAAATTATCAAAGCCAAAAAAATTGGATTTTTATTTTGCAAACAATTCGACATCTAAAAAGCTCGAAAATCGGAAAAGCTTCTATAAGCTTTCGAGTTGAACATTGTCATCATAAAAATACCTGATTCTACTATTTCATTGTTCAGAGAAAAATTTTAATCTTTTATTTGATAGAGCTTTCGAAAAAGCTCACATTGAGCTTTTAAATGATCAACCATGGTTATTAAATCTAAGATAAAAAAAATCCGAAATATCATTAAATATTGAAAAATCTTTTATTCAACACAAAACACGATGAAAGATAATAGTCAGCAATCTAAAGCTCGATGGGGTTCGAATATGATAATAATGTAATAAAAACAAATTTAATATTCAAATAATAATCCCAGCTATTTCGTATATATGCAAGCAGAGCCTCTCGAAAATGAAGAGTAACTCTACAAGCCAGTACGGTACGATCGTTTGTTGCTATGGAGATTCAAGCTCAGTTGGATGCCCTTGAAAAAGAGGGTGAGAACAAAAAAAAAAAGGGATGACGACCAGAGGGACACGGAAAGAAGTGAGAGGACCTCCAGGAAGGAGTCAAAATGAAAGAAAAACTTCCGACAAAGTGGATAAGGAAAAATTAAAGATGATGATGGAAGTAAAGAAAAATGTTTGATGGCATTGAAGGAGCACACTTTTCAAATGCTTCAAAATAAATGAAAAATATTCTTTGCCTATTTCTCTTTTTTTTTTTCTGATCAATATTTTTTTCATCTAGAAATGGCAAGAACTTAAAGTAATACTCCCACTCTCTAGTCCCAATAGACACAGTTATATTTTTTTTTTAATAAAAATTTCTTAATCATTCAAAAGCTCTGTTAAATTAATACATTTTTCGAGCTAGGAATCATTTTTTTATGTTAAATTAAAAAAGAAAATATTTTTCTCGAGCTTTTGAGCTTTTTTTTTTTTTTTAAAGCTTCTGAGATGTGTTCCAAAGATTTGAAGTCATATTCTAGATTATTTGAGCTTTTCATAAAGCTTTTGAGCTTTGTTCCAGTGGTTTGAAGTCTTTTAAAAGAGACTTTCAGCTTTATTCAATAAATTTTGAGCTTTACTTCAAGCTTTCGAGCTTTAGTCAAAATACTTAAGCTTAAATAAATAACTTTTGAATTTTAAGTGTTAAAATAGGACACTACGATAAATTACTGTAGAGCTTTTTATAATAATTATTAAGATTAAATTTAAATTAATTCTTTTTTTTTTAAATACATCATTCGTAATTTTAATATATATTTTTATTTACCGAAAAAAATTTGTAAAAAATTAATGATTAAGTCATTTTAAATGACTTTGTGCAACGAGTTTTAAGAAAAATGTGTTTGCAGAGTCAACCAACAACCTGTTGAAATGCTTTGAAACAAGAATGATAAAAGTACAACGATAAATGAAGAGTCACAAAGAAACCGCAATCTTTTGATAACGATGAGAGTCATTTTTTGTTTCACATCATCAACTAACACCTTTCACTCAAATAAGGTAAACTGCATACAAGTTATTGTACATCATACTTGTAATAAGCTCTAATAAAACAATCCCAAAGATGAGCTTTTATGTCAATCGAACAAACTAATAAACTATACGTAATTTATATTTAAGCAAAAAAAAAAAGTGCAATATTGCACTTTTTTTAATGCATATTCTAATTCTTAAAAATGATGTGGTAGTTAAGATGGCATAAAACCATCCTCAATTTCAGTATTATCTAAAGCTCGTTAAGCTCTGGGACAAATTTGGCTTGATATTGAACCCATCTCCATTTTCAATCATAGAATGAATTCAAAATCTTCCAGTAGAAAACAAGACTGGTTTATTGTTGGACCAATACTCAAGCAGTCTAGCCAACCTTGGTTCAATGTTAAACCAGTCTTATTTTCTAAAAAAAATATTAATTACAATTTTGTTCTTAAAATTTCTGACTTATGTATTAAGTTGATATTTAAAACCCAATTTCACTTTTAATTCTCATTAATTACCATTGGAATAATTTATTTCCTCAATAATGTCATCATTATTAATAAACCAAACTACAAAAGTCCAAGTAAATGATCGAATTATTATCATTTCTACCTTTTACACAAATACCTTCCTTCATTATATCATTCTAAAGTCACAAAATAAAAGAGAGAAAGTAATTATACACTGCAAAAGGAAAAGAAATAAATTATTCACTTTAACTCTTCTTATATAAAATCTAGAGCAAAGCATACTTATGCACATATGAGAAGTAAGTGAAATTGGATAACCCTTAGAATTTTAGTAATATCAAATTTTTCCATTTTATTCATAAAATAACATTACGTGATTTAATGTCAACATCTTAAAATGGAATTTTATCTAACATTACAGTCATATGATATAAATTCGAGTTTACTTGAAAAAGCATTCCATCAGAAAAAGTTTCAACAATTAAATTAATGAGACAATTTTTTTTTTGTTTGAGATTTCTCCTTTCATTTCAGTTTTATTTCATCCTATTTTCAGTTTTTAACGTTAATTACACACATTGTTAACCACATTATCATATAAACACTTTTATCAAATTTTTCTTTTACAATTTATAGAAACATCTTGAAATAATATAATAATTAATAATAATTGTATCTATTTGTTTATTATTATCAGTATCATTAAAAAGTATTTACTTATATGGCCATCTTACCCGGAATCGAGTAACCTACGAATAATAAAAGTAGTGTTGATAATTTATTTTTCATGATAGAGTTATTAAAACGTCAATAACTAAATAAAATAACTTAAAAACATATCAACACTACTTTTATTATTCGCGACTAAAAGCCACAATTTATATTTCATTCTAAGAAACGGCTGAATAAACATCTAATGAGATTGACTTCCGCTATAATACCAATAAAAAAAAAATAAACATCTCGACTTATTCAATTTTTTGCGATATTTTCAAAACGAACTATTATCAGTAAGGAATTAATGTTTACCTAATTATGGTAATAATGAACTAAAATAGAAAAAAAAAAAAAGGTAAATAAATAAAGGCAATAAATAAAAATAAACTAAGAGGAAAGATTTGGAATTATTCCCGGAAATAAATGACGTTTTAAAATTATCGGTGGGTAACACATCTACTCTTATCTATCCACAAAAATAGAAAACGTTTGCAGACAAAAGATTTTTTTTTTTTCTTATTTGGCAATCACTAGGATCTCCCTTTCACTCACTTTATTTCTCTTGACAGTTTAATCCAAAGGGATTCGATTGTTGAGCCTGACTCTTTTTGTTTATATTTTATTCTTTCTCCATTTTACGTAAATTTATCATTTTTCATACTCGATAATTTAAAAATATTGACAACAAAAAAAATTACTCGTAATCGAAAAAATAGTAATTTTTTTTTTTTTTTCTAATGTAATTACAGTGATAAATTGATTATACTTCTCACTTAAAAACCCACATAACTACCAACTTTGCAGAAAAATTTTTATTGATAAAATTAATTAATTAAGTCGAGAAAAAATAGTATATAATTAAAACTTGGTTATTAATTTTCATAAAATACTCATAAAACGCTTGTATTTATATCTAATTAATTAATTACTTAATCAACGACTCTTTAAAGCATTATCGTTTCTATAAATTTCGATTTAATGAATTATTTCGATATATATCGATATTTGTTCACAAAAAAATCGTTGAAGAATTTTTAATCACAATTTTTTTTTTTTTTTTCGGAGTAAAAGTTTTAAAATGGAGCATTTTTCGCGACTCAGAAGATAAGAAAAAATACTAAGAAAAACAAATGCATGGTAAAAAAAAAAATGACACTCACCATCGCGACGCCATCCCCAGGTCTTCCTTAAACTCCAGCATGCCAGATGAAGACTTGTAATTGTAATATAAATGTCCTCGCGTTAAAGACAAACGACAATCGTTTACCCGATAAACCCAAAGAGAACAGTGAACTTTTAACTCATTAAACAAAGTATTTAGCTCATTAATGTACTAATGAATGATACATAACAACAATTGTGTGTTAATTTTACGTGAAACAAGAGAAATGACAAGCACAAAATCATGCAACAACACACGTTTTACATGAAAATTTAAACTAATCACGAAGTAACCATATTTTATTCGTCAAAGGCGCGGAAGCAACTAACCGGCAAGCTCTTCAATCTGCATTACAACGACGGCGCATCTTGACGCGCATGTCGAGGAGTCTTCAACCAATCAGCGTTAGCGTCACTTTCTTCCCCCACTCCTTGCAATAAATTGGAGTAGAAACAGTAAAAGTTTAGGCCGACAATACTTTATATTCAGGATTATTTTTCCTTTTTAATCAACAATTATAATTATTGCTATCTGTTTTATGTTATTATCAATAAATGTTACTATTTTGTCCATAATTGTAGCCATATTTTCCATAAAAATGTACGTATGTCGGTAAATATATCATTCATGTTTAAACTCTCACCCTTTATTTGTTTACTCACTTTTTAATCTATCATATTATGAATTATTCATTGTTATTAAATATACTCGTTACAGTAAAGCTATTGAATAAATAAAACTTGATTTATTAAATATTATGGAGAATTAAATTTAATTGATAACCTCTTTAGTTGATAAAATATTAACTAAATGCACATTTTGATTTATTGTATTTATGTAATAAAATTTAACATGTACAGTTATGTTTTTCTTTTATGTATTTACAAAACACTATTAATTGCAATTACAAAAATTAACTAAAATTTTGTCACCTACATACATTTTTTAAATCACATTTTATGATTAAAAAATAGTATAATTGTTCTATCAAGTATGATTTATAACCTCACTCACTCTAGCAAAAACAACCTTCTTTTGTTTAAAATTTATGAAAAGTACAAAACTTTATATTTATTATAATCCTTTTAAATTAAAAAAAAAAATTATTTCCAAGTCTTTTTTTATTTACCACAAAACAAAACTAAAAACTGATGAACACCCAATAAATCTAAGATGATAATATTTTTAAATAAATATTATCACTCTTGTAAGCTTTATTTAGCTCGTAAATAATCTCGTATAGACTTGATCATCTTCTCAAGCATACTTGCTAATGATTTATCAATAACTCTTTGAGGGAGCCATCCTTTCAAGTCGACATGAAGAATCCATGTAACTCGACACTGAGTTCTTTCACTTGATTCATCGTCTTCTATTGATTCAGCTGCTAAACAAACGATTTTGTTTTCAGCTCTGCAAAAAAGAAATCCCTCAATTAATGTTTTACTTTATTTTAAAAAATATTAACCTAATTATAAAAGGCAATAATTAATTATTTATAAAAGAAAACTATACCTTATATGATTTTTACGTGTTGGAAGATTCGTGTTAACAAAAGTTCCACTGCTTAAATAATATTTGCCACATCTATTTCGATGTCGAAGTGTTATAAAGTCTCTTGGACCCACCAAACCACCGCCATAAGTCTTGGTTGATTGATAAATGATGTCTGTGTTGTGATCAACGTTCTAAAAATCATTAAAATAATGTCTACCACTTTTTCTTCTTCTAGATGACGTTAATATTCAAAAATGTAAAGATTACCTGGACCTTCTGGACAACAGAAACATCTTTGTTCCATGTTGGAGTATCTTCCACATTGTCATGAAGTTGATTAATGAGAGATTGAGCTGATGCTTCCACAATTCCCTTAAAAAACCAAGCAAACATTATTAATCATATTCGTTAATGATAATTGAATCATTGAAGTTGATGACAAATGTATTAAAATTATTAACAATCCTTGAAAAAAAAAACCTAATGAGTTAAAGATTGAATTCAATCTTCAAGACAGGTACCTTTGACCTTGCTTTTATTGCTTGCCTTTTAATAAAGTTAACTTTATTGACTGTAGCTTCAATAACTTAGTCTTCAAGAATTAAAAATCACTACTTATTGTAAACGAAAACCTCTTCGAAAGTTAACTTCAACTTATAAACTTCATATCAAGCACAATTCATATTTAATTCTAAGAAAAAAAAAAACAAGATTTATCCGTTTGGTTATTCATTTATCGATTTATTTAAATTAAGTTATCGGTTGGTTTCGAATTCCCATGTAAACATTTGGTTTGGGTCACGTTTTAATTAAATGTATAAATAATAGCTATCAAGAGAAATTACCTCAATTTTAAATATTTTCCCATGAGAGCTGTCCATCACTGATATAATATCACCTTCTGTAGTAGTGCTGTGCTTTTGCCATTCTTTAGATATCAATAGTTGATATGATTGATCTACAAGCAGCGATGCTTTCCTTTTATATTCGTCAAACTGTAACAAATAAACAAAGACATCAAATGATATTATTTAATAAATTTATTTAAATAAATTTAAGATGATTTTAATTTAAAAAAAAATACCAAAACACTAGAAAATATTTATTATTAAAATTAAAAATCTTTTTAATTGGAATACTTTTCTTAAAGTTGCAATAATTACCTCAATAATAATTGGGACTGAATTTAAATATTTAGGCATTATCAAAACATCCTGTGATATATTTATTTATAAATAGTCTAATTTTTTAAAATACTCTAGCATTTTATTACTTTACTGTTTAATTCATTTTTAAAATCATTCTTAAATTCAATGTTTAGGTTGGATATATTTATTTATCCAGGTATCATTTTAATTTTAATTCTAAATCTCATGTTGATTAATTTAATTCTAAATCAAGGTTTCAAATTAAAATAACTGAATAAAATTCTTATGAACCTTAATTGGTGATAAATAAGAGACACGTTTGACGATATTGAAAAATTCATCATCCGAACTGATTGATTTCGAGCTCTTTGTGTGATCTTCATCATCATCTGAATGCGTTGGAGAGTCCATGGGAGTAAAAAAATTACCCACACTCTCAGCAATTCTACTAGGTGGACCAACAAGCACATTTTGGAGCAATGGTGATCTTTCATTATTCACTGAATCTAAAAATAAAAATTTCCTTTATTTTATAAAAGTGAATTTGAATATGTAAATTTGTGTATGCTCACACAATTAGTTAATGAATTGTTTTAATAAAAAAAAAAAAATAAAAATGAAATTACTCATCCAATACTGAGCTTGCATCTCCTGCGGCACGACTCGATAATCAAAATACCAAGCTTCAGCCCATGCCAGTACGAATGATATTAAAATCAACAGAGCTTGAAAACCAGGTTGAGGTACACCATCCCACTGGAAGCATGGAAATTTCATTTATTCATTGAACTTTAAAATAAATTATTCCTTTGCTAAATACTGAATTTTAACTTACAGTAAAAAAATAAACTTTAGCTCCGAGAAAGGCACTCGTTGAGGCAGTAGTAAGCTAAGGGCAATAAATTTATTAATAATTAAAATATTATTTATTAGAAATATATAAAAAAAAATATTTTTTTTTTTACTCACCGCAACGATTATCCAGTGATTAAGCTGCAGTAATGCGTAAAAAAATAGTAGAACGATGAACCTAGTCAGGGTTGAGAACTGGAAATGAATGATTAATTATTAAGTAACTTTTTCTAAGAAACTTTTCAACTTGGATTTAATTTAAACATTTTTCTCGAACACAGAATGACATTAGTGAATGTTTAAATAATTATTAGAAAATTAAGATAATACATTTATTGTTGTTCCGACATGTAATATCATGATGTAGAAGAAATAATAGAACACAATACTCTTTTCAAATATTTACTAATTAATATTGTTTTAGTAATTGCTAAGGGTAGTTTATAAACTACTAGTGGAGTAAATTAAAAAAAAGAAAAACTTACTACTATATCGAAAAGCGACGTCGAGATATTGTAATGCAAAACTTGTTGCACAAATGCTGTTGAGATATTTTCACCTGCTATCTAAACATAATAAAAACATTCTTATTAATATATAGGTATATTTAATATAAATAGGTAGAATATTTATAAAAAGATTTATTAAAATATTCTAAAGCTTGATATTTTCAATAGTATAATTAGCTGAGATGAATTTTGGTCAATAAATCTTAGTCAGTCTCTTAACAGATCTTATAGAATGAAAACTACCTTTCAGTATTTGTCTTCAAATAAAATTTACAATAGAAATTGAATATAAACTTTTTAATGAGACTTCTTGATTTCATTTTTAATATAAAGTTAGATTTTATCAATTTAATCCAGCTATTTCTTGATTCTGGTGTAAAGTATTTACATTTTACATGAGCTATTAATATTTTAGACAATTCTAATTGTTCAATTATTACCAGAATTGTGTTGGTAAATAATAATTACAAATCAATGAAATGTTTTTAAAAAAAATCATTCAATTTTTCAATTAATATTTTCAATGGATAATAAAATGCTATTGTTTTAAAATCAGATGATAATATTGAAGTGTTATATAAGAAAAATCATTATACCGTGGTACACAGCAACCACATGAGGCATGTGAGCAGAAGATCAAAAGTGACAAGAAGACAAAAAAATCGCCTAGTGCTGGACATCCTGTTGTTATGACGAGCACCAGCAATCACTTCCTCATTAACGATAAAATCTCTATTGATGCTATTGATACTTCGATGAGAATAGGAACTTCTTTGAGATTGAAGAGAACCGCTGAGCAGATTTTCTGCAACACTACGAATGTGTCGGTCCTCTTCTGTCATCATTTTTCTCCTTATTGATATTTTCTCTACGTTACATGATCTACAACAACATCAACTATCTTAATAAATCAATCAGCAATTAATCTTTGTTATGGCTAAAATATTTTTATCAACGAATTCGTTTCAATAATCAAATATAAGATATCCTAAAACATAAATGCAAGTAATGAAATAACAGTCGATGCTATATTTAAAATAATTTCTTTTTACTCACCGTCATTAAACTGAAATTTATGAATGCGAATACTTCATGTTTAATAAACAGTTCCGATGTTAAAATATTAATGGCAGTTGTATAAATAATCATGGATACATTCGTAGAAGTCCAAAAATTTCTTTATAATATTTTTATACCATCATCCACACCATAACCAACAAATATACATTAAAAATAATCAAGGTAATTAATCAACTTTTCTGCACTTTTTATTAAAAAAAAATATATTACTTTGTCTATTGTTAAACATAAATGGTTTTAAAAAATGCAATAAATTTTTTTAGCAATAAATTTTATGAAAATAATGAATTCAACAATAGATACAAAACAAATGTATCATGTCATCATTGGATAATTTCTTGTTCAATGGTAATTAAATTAATAATCACTACCTTTTAACAATTAATAGTTAGAGAAAATTAGTGAGGAGACTACAAACAATAGCCTCTAAAAAAATTATTACGAGTGTTGATTATTAACTAGCTTAAACATGACACTTTTAATAGCGTCTTCTCAAATTTACACCATTTATACACTATAATTGCACTAATTGGGGTGTTAGATATCTCATAATAAATCAGAAAAGCTAAATATTTGATCTAAAGAAATATTTAATGGATTATTTAATAGAATAAGCATTTTAGAAACATTTTAACAATAAATGCTTGTCTGACGTTGTTACTAATTGTTTACTGTTGGTTCACATTTTGACCGCCAGGGGGCAACACTCTAGATTAGTTCGTTTGCCAGCCGCATCGAGCAGCACTGAGCCTTTCGAAATAATGACGCCAAATTTAGACGCCAATAGAGCAAAGAATGGACTTTTTTAATAAATTATATTATAATAAAAAATAATGTATAAATGACCATGAAAAATTATTAATAGCATTTTAGATGAGTTATTAATGCATAAATTGACTTTTTAAAATAATTTTCAGGTCTTTTTGTCCGTTAATAAATAATGGCGTCACAGCGGGGTTTGATTTTTCTTTAAAAAAAATAATAATGTGAATAGTAACAAATTATTTTAAATAAAATAAGTACATTAAAATATAGTGTCATTTATTGGTGTTTTTAACATAAATTAGTAATATTGAAGTATTTATTATTAAAGTGTTTAAGTGAATTTAATAATCTAATAATCTACAAATCTTTACCATTTGTAATGACTGTAAAATAAAAAAAAAAAGCTCTACAAACTGATTGCAAAAGACTAGGCCTTTCTATCAGTAATCGTAAGTAACGTTTTTAATAAAATTACCTCATATTTCTGCATTTATATTTTTTTAAAGTAAAAATCAATAGTTTAAAAGCATGAATAACACTTCATTCAATACAAATAATTGAAATAAAAATTATTATTGATGAAATTAATCCAATAATAAGTATTCACAGACTATTTTTTGGTTTATTTTTCACAAAATTCGTTCACAATGTCTTATACCAACATATTTTACTATTTAATTTAATTTATTTATCATAACTTGTATATACAAAATCACATTGTCCACTAAATCATTTTAATACTTCAGCTTATGCCCTGCTTACTAGTCCAACTGATAGCAGATATAACGATAAATCACGTTTCCTTTTAATTTTTTATCGTTGTATTCTTAAATCTTTCTTCGAAATGTCTTCCTCACATTACTTATTTTTTTTTCATTACAAAAATACGTATAGAAAAAAAACTTCTTTATAAAAACATTTTTTTTCGAAATAAGTGAGCTATTACTACTTACAAATAACCAGTAATTATTAATTATTCTGATTAAAAATATTTATTATCAAGTAAAAAAAATAATTATGTAATTAATCTGGCAGTTTAATTGTTCTCAAAGCGTCAGTGTCACTTGTTTCTAACGTCGCGATAGTTCCTATATTAAAAGGAACACCAACACCACCATCAAATACTAATCCTCCATCATAGCAATGAGATCTGATGGTTAATTTATTACAATAAGCTCGAGTTTTTAATGTTTTTGGTAATTTCCAAATGTCATTGAGAATTATATCTCTTATTACATAACTCATTTTTCCATCATCTGTAACAAATAATTATCTGGATAATAAATATTCTAAAGCTTTATATCAATTAATATTCTAGGAAGTTAAAGAAGTGATGATTACCTGGAGAAAATTGAATATTTTTATTACAATCATCACAGATTCTCTCGATTTCTTGCTCACTAAATTTATTCTTTGGTATAGAAACATCTAGAACTCTCTTAATAAGATGAGGTGTTACACTATTAATTGCTTTGTACCATGAACTGGAACCTGTTCCTGTGCTCACACAAATCCCTGAGCATTTTAATTTGTGATAATTCGGTTCATCATTAACTCGAAGCTCTAGAGAACTGGTTTTTGCTGATAAAGATTCTCCAATGAATACCTAAAAACAATATTAATAATTTTTATTTAATTCAATTACATTCTTCAATTGTTTCCAATAATTAATTCAAACTTTTCTCAATCATTATTTTATTATTTGTTTGCTTACTTCATTTAATGCCAACCAAGGCAGCTTTTTTTGATTATTTATTTCCTTACTCTCTAGAGCATTTGATAAAAATTGATACATCTCCAAGCCAGCGATCCTACTTTTATCATGCATATGAAAAGGTGGTTGGCAAATACTTTCTCCCTGCACAGTTACCCTAATCCTAGTTCTCATGACATATTCATAATGCCCATCACGAAGTCTCTCGAAAATACCTTTAACATCATTCGTATAACGTCTTTGTAGCATTAGATGACCTTCTGATGAATCTGGATCTGAGTTTATTCCAATAATTGGCTTCTTATTATCAAAAATAAGATTGGCTGCTAGTAGAAATGTTCCATCACCTCCAACTGCTATTACAAGATCTGCCCAATCAAACTGGGACTGATCAATAGTCAACCTAAAACAATTAAATGTATTCAATCTCCAAACAAGTATGAAGTAACAGTTTTAAAAGAATTAATAAAATATTTATTTTATTAAATAAATTGCTGTTGATGTCAAGACTTACCTATTAGTGATTTTATAATCAATATTAATATTTTTTAATGTATCAATCAGCTGAATCTCCACTGCTTTATTTTTCTCATGATTAGCTAGCATAGTATCATAATCAGAACCTCTCCTAATCAGCCTGGATTTAAATTGAACTTCATCAAGATCAGGTTCACGAAGTCGTTCAAATTGAAGTTGTGATACCTTGGAAACAATTAAAATTCGTTGAGGAATGAAACTTGATTCTCTTCTGGCGCTGGAGCATTGCATTGATGACTTAGATTGATTTTTCAAACAAACAATTAATCCTATAACATTTAATCAAACTATCAAGTGAATAGAATTTTAATTCATCTCATTATTTACATCAAATCATTTTAAAATATTATTATAGAATTATGTAAATGATATTTCATTAGCTAGATAATTATTTACTCTGATAAAACCAAAGTTGGTGTTGATGTTTATCATGAGAGAATAGATAAGATGTAAATAAAGAGGTTGGTAAATGAAAATATGATAAAAATGAATGAATAATTAAATAATTATTATTACTTACGTCTTACTTCTCGTCGAATACTATGTAAAACAGTCATAACGTGATTTCTATTGTTTTTTAAACGTTTAAAAAGACTTGTAACAAGACATAAATATAATGCTTTATAACCTCAAATGTGAATTCCAATTATTCGCTGACTAACTACACCAAGGCCGATAGAGATTGTCAAGTTTGAAGGAAAGTATCATTAGACGAGTGCAAAGTGCACATAAGTTTATCGGTATTTTGTTGATAAAGAAATAATGTAATTATTATGATAATAATTGAGTGAAGAGTTTGATAATTAAGGAATTATTTTTATTGTAGTTTTATCATTTTTTATTTGAAATAAAGATTAAATAATACTTGCTGGAAAAATTAAATAACAAGTGGGAAGATAAATTTTATGTGATACAAATTTTTAATAATATTGTTTATTATTAATAACTTATTAATGGAAAAGTTTAGTTTTTAACTGTAAAAATGATATTAAAGCAGAATGAAAACAGATATTTTTAAACTTGAATAATTAAAATAATTTCCATTGAAGAGAAAAATTAAATATTTGAACTTAATATTAAAACTAGTTGAACTTATTTTGATTTAAGTATTAATTTCAAGACTTGTTGAGGTAATATTGACCTAAATACAACAAGAAATACTTTACAGATCTTCAAATATTTTTACACAACATCACTGACTTCCTGAGATTGTTTTTAAAAAAAAAAAACAGTTATAAGTTTCTTAATTTTAATGTTGGCTGTGAAATCTGTATAAAAAGAAGAGGATTAAGTAAACATTAGCATGGAGGTCTTGAAATTCACCCTCATATGTACATAGTCTAATTATTATCTTTCATTTTATCAAAAATCTCCATCTTGCAGGGTCCTTTTTACTCTATCCTGTTAGCTAGAGTTACTGATGATTTATCATATAAATCACGTCGATTATTTTTAATTGAATATTTAGATAATTAACATTACATTCTCATTTTCTTCCTCCATCAAGGAGTTGCAATCTAGCAGTTTATTGAATGAATGTCTTTGATAACTGAGCACCAAATTTATCTTCTGCTTAACTTCTTTTCTTAAATCTTTAGGTTCAAATATTTGTTCCAACATGTAATTTAATTTCTTTTCTCCACCAATATCTCTCAATCAATGTAATGAGTCTGATGCCAATTTTATAAATATATACATGTAGATTTTCTTTGACTCTTGGACTACAAAAAATAAACTGGAGACATTGTATATCATATCTATCTCCAAGATCACTTATAAAATGACGATTTATCGTTTTATTTTTTTTTATAGCTGCTGGAATAACAGACCAAACTTCACAAAGTAGCTTTCGGTATTTATTTCGTTTTAAAATATTAGCGGCGAAATAATAACGTCTGTATTTTAGGTTAGGATATCATGGCATCGCATGGGTTCTTTGGAATTCGAGATGTAGGTAAATTATCGACAGCTAATTTTAGTAATGATGATAAAACAGTCACATAAGTGTTCGACTTATGGTAAATTACATTTACCATCAGTTAACACAACATTTTTTTTATTCAAATTCATTTAATTAATTAATTAATTAAAAATACCTTGTAAATAATAATTTAACGATTAAAATATACTGAAAAATTTTTTCTTAAATAAATTTTTTAATCAAAGACGAACAAAATTAGTTTAAAATAAATTATAAAAAATGAATTATTCTCAGGATATTATTTCTTAAAATTAATAACATATATTTTAAAAGAACAATTTAAAAGAAAATTTTTTAATTTTGATGAATAAAAAAGAATTTTTTTGATTGATATAAAATAAATAATTTACAGGATTAATTAATTACTTTAGACACAGTTATCATGAATGAGATAAATGACATTTTAACGAGGGGTGATTTTAAAATTTTTCAAAGCAAGCAATGAGGAATAATGATCATTAAATACACCCTTGTAGATATTTTTTGATAAATTCACAGAACGAAACTCAGTCCTCTTGGTCATTCCTACAGATCAAATGGTTATGATATATATCGCCTACCTACGATTGAAAATGATATCGCGTGCATTTGTTCATTCTCCAACTCATCGTTCTGATTTCTGACCACAATTGACTAGTATTTCTAGTGCTTGTGTCCACTTTCATTCTGACAAATCGAAATCTCTCTTTAGTGAGTCATCTATTGAGGTTGGCTCCAGCTCTTGTGTCATGTTATTGACACCACGTAGGTCAATAGACGATGTAGGAGAACTGGTAAAAATATTGTTTTATAGATATCTATTCCATTACCATTAATTTCTTTTTTTTTTAAAAAAAAGAAAAATTTATTAATCATTAAATATAAAAAAAAATTCAAAGTCTTTGAATTTTTTTTTTTTTAATAATTCGAGCTTTAGAAATATTTCTTTATTGTATTTAGACACAAAAGGATATTGGAATTATTTTTAAAAAAAAAATTATTTGAAGCAAAAATAATCCATCATTTAATATTATGAGGAATTACTTATAATTTTGCATTCATTAAGATAACTGCATCCTTTGAAATTTTAAATGAGAAGTTGGAGTATTCGATTAAATATTAAACTGCCATCACTCAAAATGTCCAAGGGATTCACCAACTTAGATAATTTACCTGAATTTATCATAAATCTCTTGAGAAACTTTAAAAACAAAAATAGGTCAAAATATCAATAGACAATAAATAGATTTGTTTAGATCGAAATAAATTTTTTAAGTCCAGTATTTGGGGAAGAGGAGGATTTTTTTTTTTTTTATCAATACTGAGTATTTTTCCATTCGACTAGATAAGATTTTATTAAGACCAGAAAAAAACCAGAAACTTCAATATAAATAAATAAATAAGTAATAAAGATAATATTCTATCACATTTGTGGATTTTTCTTTCATTTTATGTCTTATTATTGTGGTCGTAAAAATATAAATAAAATAGAGATCAATCTCATGTTTATCATTTAATTACATAAATGTAAAATTGTTTAGATTTTTTTCTTGAAAAAAAAAGAAAAAACAAAAAATTAAATGATTATTTATTGATTTCCAAGTTGTATTATTTTGTTGTAAATTAATAGTTGTTTTGCTACTGTAAATAGTAATATTAACTTACCATTTTTCTTAATGTAGCTTAAGAAGGATTTAACGTATTTAAACATAACAACATGTCTACATCATGATCGTATTCATTAAATGTTTGTACTTGTTACAACCATACAGCTTATAACGATAATAGTACCAAGCCCCATTTATTCCAAGTATCCGCAATCATGTGGAGTATTATTTAAATGGCTATAACGTAATTTACATGGCGACATGAGTAAGATTCAAGACGTCGTGTTGAGGGGAAAATAAATTAGTATCATTTGTTTCGATTCAATAGAACGTGTTAAAAATAATTTACCTTCAGTTTTTTTATTGAATAAAATAATTCAGATGTTAATTGTCTGACTAAAATAAAATCATACTACTTAATTTATAGCTATTATTAACATCAACATATTTTACTGTTAATGTTTCATAATTAAGTTCTATAAATATGTCCATTAAAATTGATAATAATTGTAAAAATTAAAATTTCACGTAAATTGTCTGACTTAAATAAAATTATACTACTTAAATCATACTATTTTTTAATATAAAGTTGAAATTACAAATCGTCATCAACGTATATAATCTTGATGAATCATAAAATTTATTACCGACTGATAGAAGAAATCCCGCGAATCCAAAATCAGAGGGAAAAAATTCGAACAACTTTGGAAGTGATAAAAGGTGTTGGAAAGTAGTTGAGTTCAAAAAAAGAGAAAGAGAGTTAGCAAAGGATTTGTAAATGTTATAGAAAGCTAGAACGATTGAAGATGGAAGAGAAAAAAAAAGAAGGTAAAGAAGAGTAATAAAGAATTCTTCTGGGTTAAATCTGTACATCGGCCATGGCCGTCAATCAGTTAACGACATCCGGCAATAATTCGTTTAATCCAAACTCCACTTCGTCATCAATCGATTGATCTGGTTAAGAATGTATGCTTTAAGAATGGTGAGTTATAAAATAGATAAAAAAATTACTAGTTTTATTAATGCAGAGGGCGTGGTGGTGATTCAGAAAATTGATTGCTTTCTGATGTAATTTTTTTTTGTTTAGGAAGGAGGAAGGAAAACCATTGACTTCAATGAAGAATTTTTTTTTTTTTTTTACATAAAGGTTTGTTTATGTACTTAGTCAAGTTCCTCTCAATTGGTGGGCTTAAGGATTAGGAAACATTATAGGGTATGAAATCAATAGGGAATTTTATCCGCAGTAGAGTAATTGGTAGAAATACTAGGGGAAAAAAAATGAATTTAGAGCAAGGCCTGTGTACAAGTCATTTGTTTGTCATGAATTCGACTGGAATAACATAACTCACTGACCATCCAATCGACTTGGAGTTTTTTTAATTGTCTTTTTTTTTTTGAGTAATCTTTAAAATTGATTCATACAAGAGTTGATAAATAACAGTGTTACCAATTTTTTTTTGACTGAAAAATTTTTTTTCAACGTCTAAAAATAAAACAAAAAAAATATTAATATCAATTAATTAATGTAATTACAAATTCATTCCTTTAAATGAAGGTATCATTTAAGTTTTCAGACAGCATTTTAAGCCATCAACATCCACAATTATAAAACAGTCAAAATTAAAGAAAAATATCTTATTAGTTTCAACCCTTCATCGCTTAAATAAAATAACTTAATTAATTTATTCTTAATAAATTTTTATTATTAATTAAGTTTACCAATTAAATTGAATTATTTTTCAATGTTTCATTTCGAAGCATTACTGAAAAACCAGTTGCTTTAAATGCATATTAATTAATTAATTACATTTGCAATAAAAAAATGGTTTTATTTATTTATTGTTTATATTAACAAGTAGTTTCTGGATATTTAATTTCTTCAAATAGATTAAAAACATACTGATATATCTGCAGGTTAAAAAGAGTTTTCTCTAAGAATGAAATTGGACTGGAATCCTGAAGTAATGCCTCGGTAATACTAGAGTTAAATAGGTCATAAACACGAGTTTCAACCAAAAAAGTCATTAATAAATAATCACGAATTGCCTTGAGTCATGTTTACGCCCATCCTCGTCGAAACGAAATTATAAATAGATTTCTAAAGACCGATTCTGATAGTCAAATATATATTGAGACCCGATTTTAATTACCATATCATTACCATAATTTTATTTTCATCAATAAAATAAACCGATAACATGGTCACAAATTTAAACAC